AATCAATTAAATAATATTCTCTTTAACTTTTTATGAAACAGTAAAACAGATAAAAAATAAAGAGAGATGTGATATTTCAAAATTATTTTGAAGGGGGTCTTAAAATATTTAATACAAGGTCATTCATAGATTCCTTAAAGTTAGGATGAATATGGAGATTACTTCAGAAGTCAGGCAAGTGGTAAGTTATCTTAGAAACACATATTGACTTACATATGCTATCTCATTGTGGAAGTGATTATATTACAATATGTCTAAATACATGTAAATGCACAAATTATTTTGGAAAGATGTCTTTAAAGCATGGAGAAGGTTTAATGAAAGGGAGCGGGTGATTTTTTTTGAAGAAAGTTGTATCTGGAAAATGCCATTATGGTACAATAGGAATTTTACTATTGGTAGGAAATCAATAATTTTCAAGACATGGTATAATAAAGGAGTGACTATAAATTATGATTTAATAAAAGACATTGAGACTTTTTATACATTTCAAGAATTTGTTCAAATTTATCAGGTAAATACTAATTTTCTCCAATTTTGTGTATCGTCAAGTGTCGTTATGTGTTATCACGTGTTGTTTTGTGTATCGTCACGTGTAGCTATGTTTCGTCATGTCTATATGTGTCGTCACATGATTTCCATAGTGTGTTAATACGTTGTTACGTGTTTAAAGCGTCCTCATGTGTCGATATGAATTGTTATGTGTCGTCTAAGTCGTCATACGTCTTGATGAGTTGTAATGTACCTGTCGTTATTAGTCGCCATGTATTGACTGAAAAGCCGACTAAATGCGAATTCATATTCTACAAAATACGGTTTTGACTTTTGTTTAGATGCAGGAATGTAGCTTTCCTGCTTTAGTTTTTTATACGTCTCAAAATGGCCCCTAATTTGACACCAAAGCATCACGTGTAACGTTAACGTCTGTATCTTAGACTATATGTTGTTACTGTCACACCTGATCTCTAGCTGCCAGAAAAAATAATAACGGTTTCACGTTTTACTACGACATTAACTCAATATTTGACACGGCGGCGTAATATGCATTCAAAATGTTATCGAAAATAACTTGCCTCCGAGTTACTTCCCTTTGAACTCTGACCTTCATTATAAACGTTATAAGCTTTGTATGCTGAAGCACTATCATGATGTGCACAGTTATTTCAAAATTCTACATGTAGCCACTCACTGAATAATCTACCGTTTATCCTTTTGAAATATATCTCTTGCTATAAATAAATGTACGTTTCGTCAACTTTAAACTATAATGAAGATAGATAGTATAGGTCATACGTGATTAATACATCTCCAGCACACACGCAGGCATACACACACAGGGAGATATTAGCTCGATGACATAGGACTAGAAGTTAGCGCCCGATAAGGCAGCACCTGCAAATTCCTCAAAACATGTATTGATTAATGTATATGCTTATTGTATTGATTGTATAAATTGTATATCTATATACAGTAAAGCGCTTTAGGGTGGCTTATTCTAGTGAGATAGGGAGCTATATCAAATGTATACTATTGTTGTATATTATCAATATCACAATATATAACTATGGAAAGGACAAAGATCTGACACGAGTGTTCATGTAATATTGAATTTATTGAACGAGTTTATTAATTCCATATGAAACGAGCTTTTGGCGAGTTTTATATGAAGTTAATAAACGAGGTTTTTTTGACACATCTCCTACCGATGGCTGACGAAAGGACGCATTACATGCATTTTGTTTGGAGCTCGCTGCACCACAAAAAAATAGTTTCAGAAACTTCTTCCCGAAAATCTATTCGATGAACAAACAATCATTTAGGTCTTCTTCATCAACCAATGTTCTAATAATTATCATAACAACATTAATTATCATTTTTTATACGAAAACCATTCAACGAATTTGGCGTTTACGAAAATAGCAGTGACGTCACATATTTAGCACAACTGCGCGTGCACTGTCAAGGTTAAGGTCATCACAATACACATCGAAGTCTGCCCTTTTTAAAAATTTACAGGGACTGGAGTGAGTGTCACTCTCTATAACACAGAGGGTTGTTGGTGAATGTGAACCTCGCTATACTATGGAATCCGCCATGACACTGGAACACTAATGAAGTTGTTCGCCATTGCATGTGTGTATGTCGGAGAAGTTCAAGTGGAATTTGAACATGCATGCTTTTAATTTGTGTGAAGCTAACACTCATGTTTATATAATGTTTAATTTATTAAACTCGTTTGTTAATTTTATTCTCCCAGTGCCCCTGCCCCTGCTATCAATGCAAACAGTAACTCGGTCAGCCATTTTGTTTACAAACAAATAAGTTGTAGTGCGTAGGAATATGACCTGTTTCCCACGGTGACAAGACTCATTTGCATGTTTATTGTACGTGTGCTATATCGTTTTTATTGAACGGCAATATTTTACAGTCTGCTACATGTTATGTTATTATATGCATGAACATTTCTCGCAATCACATTGGTCGGATCCTATACACGTGACCAGTCCTCAAAAACTCATGTAGACTGGTTATCCGGTGAATATCGATTTCTAAATATAGCCTATATGGAAATTCCCCGGAACCTGTCGTAGCGCAAGCGCAGTTAGACCGGAACGCGATCTGTCAGATTACAACTAGAAGATGCTTGCGAACGTTTCTTCTCCGTTACATCAAAAAATTACCAAAACTATTCGAGGATAAAGATGCTGTTAACATAAAAAAGGCCATTGAACACGCAGTGCATGTCCTCCATGATTATCTTAAAAAAAAGAACCTAGACGATGCCTTCGAAAGCTACAATGCTGAACTGATGAATTCAAACCTGGCTAGGTTTTACACGGAGGCTCGCGTTCGAAAATCAGAACCTTGAGTTTTGTTTTGTTTTATTTTATTGTTGAAGCATATAATAAAACAGTTATGGGCTTTTGTGCTGGTAAATATGATGTGATATGAACCTGAAAAAGTGATATAGACCTCGGCTTCACCTCGGTCAATATATCTTTTTCAGGTTCATATCACATCATATTCACTAGCACAAAAGTCCATAATTGTATAATAATACGACTTTATCAGTTCAATTCAAGGCCAATGCATGACTATAGTGTTTTGTTGAATAATACTTCGAGGGTATAGCGAAAAAATCTCAGCTCGAAGGGTAAGCTTATAGAATGTTAATCCGAGTGTTAATATTTCTATCTAATAATCTCAAAGTAGGAATCTGGTTTTTCACACACCTCTGTTTGTTTCAGCAGAAAGGAATGATTTCGAAAATTAACCGGCAATCTATAATAAGACGACATCCAATTAAAAAGTGACGTCAATCCATTGTTTAAGTTTTAACGTCACAAGCGCGCGTAGCTTGTCGTGTTATTTGGTTTTGACATTTAAATATTTACCACTACCGCCATACAACACTATCAAGTTCAAATGACATTCATATAGCACGTAAATGGCATATAGCAAACGTATTGACGACGTCATCATTATTATGACGTCATAATTGAAACGTTAGATACCACTCATCCTCTTCCCACGCTTATTTGGACTAAATGCTAAATGCTAAATTATGTGATATTAAGATACCATGCAAATATCAAATTTAACACTAGAACTGCCTCGATACGACACCAAGTAACAGTCTATATGAATTACTTTGTAAGTAAACATAATAATGCCTTTTTAATTAAGCATTTAACATTTTGGCAAATAGTATTGTGGTCCTCAAACACGTCTTGGTATTGCTAACAAACAGTAGGGTATTATGTTAATTTCATCCATTTTCGTCCAAAATAACTAATCCGATTGCCAGATACGGCTGACTATCGTGCTTTCTTTACAACCGGAAGTACAGTGTACATGTCACCTAATTAGTGTCCGACCTTCAATCCAAGACACTGGACTATATCATCTTTATTTCCTCCAAAGTTGTACTGAGGTAACGACATTTGGAAACCTTCATAACAAAGTGGCTTTGAGTTGGTCGGACTAGATATATATATATTTTGTATTTGATTTTATTCCATAATATATAACCAAGATCTATTGTCGTTTATCTATATATGTATATATAGGATTTCCAAATCGTCTGTTGAAAATACATATTTCGTAAAAGCATATGACTTATATGGTTTCTATGAAACAAGCTTTAAGGAATTTTACAAAAATTCAGATTTAATGGGAATAAGTTTGAAGTTCTTGTTATCGCATCGTCAACCAAAAAGTTTTAAATTGTTCTTTTTTTCAAAAATCCTTGAAAAACACCGCCAGTTTTGCCATTGTTGTAATTTGACGTCATCGTTCAATGAGCTGTGATGTCACAATTGGTGATATACACTACATGAGACGTAAAAATGTTATGACATTATTAAATTGCAAAACAGCATGTGTTTATAATAAAATTAATTATTCTACACACTGTACTGAATAACTTCTCGCCATTGCATCGTCCGTGTCATAAACACGTAAAAAGTTCTCAAAACTCAAGTAGACCGGCTTCCTATGAATATGGATATCTAAATATAGCATTTAGGGGAAACCCTACTCCTTTGCAAACATTTTTTTCATTAATAGTGAAATACCTATAATGTGTATGGTTATTCAACATACAAATACTATAAACAAGCCTATACAGACATGTTAGTTATTACCTTAATTTGATTTATGAAGTATATAATATAACAATTATGAAAGTTTGTGGTAAATTTGATGTGATATGAACCTGAAGAAATGATATTGACCGAGGCGAATAATTGTATCTTAATTGATATTTCATACCTACCTACCTACCTACCTACCTACATACTACATACCTACCTACATACCTACCTACCTACCTACATACATACATACTACATACCTACCTACCTACCTATCTACCTACATACCTACCGACACACACACACACACACATACATACATACATACATACATATCCCTTAGTACTTGTAATCATTCGAGTGATTGTGTCCCGGTCACACGACTTGGGTCACATGATTGTGACGTTGTGTGTCATGGACCTAAGATAACATTACACTGGGTTACTGTCTGCTCTGTAGATACACTAAACTCGGTATGCATAACTTACATATCAAAATATGATACTCTAAAGCCACAGTTTAATTTATTATGATGCCGACTGCTAGGATAATAAATATCTGCCACGTACGGACGGATGGACATAAAAACAGCTGAATCATATAACGGACGTACGGACAACTACAGCGAATATGCCTGAACCAAACCGGAAGTTAGGTGATATAAATACCACCCATTATGAGTCGGACCCTCTACTACCACCAACCTCGTCCCCCGGGGAAGTAACATTCCTGAAACGCCTCCTACCCCTCGTGGTCGGGTGCTTAGGGATGATAGCGGCGGGGTCAGTCTTTGCGTTCGGCGCCTATACGAATGCCGTCAAGAAGCACTTCAATTATTCTCAATCCGAAGGTAAATACAATCCTAGATTATATTTGATAATGTTAAAATTTGATTGTGTACTGCTTTGACTGTCAAGGCATTTTTGAGTTGCAAAATTGAAATGAAACATTTCAAAAATAAAAAGACCTCCTTGACTGCCTGCCCCCTTGTGTACCGAATGTGGTAGTTTTACAATACAGGATATGGCAGCATTACAATATCTTATAGCATTACCTTATCGAAAGTTGCGACATTACAAAACCGGAAGTTGCAAAATTACAAAACCGGAAGTGGTAACATTGCAGAAACCTACAATACCGGATATAGTAGGATGGATTTAGTAGAAGTAGAACAGTAGTAAAATTACTATTCCGGATGCAGATTCACTACAATACAATAGTACATATAACAGCGTTACAAACCGGAAGTGGAAATATGGCAATATGAGATGAAATAGCCATAAAATAACGGATGAACTCGCACTATGATAATGTCGATAGCACCATCTCTAGCAGAAGTTAAACAGTTTTACTTCACAGTCACAAATAGTACTTCTGTATACGTTTTATTAAGAACGCACCCATCACATATACTAACAAGAGTTATAGATGCTATCTAAGATCACTGTTTAACTAGTGATAGTACAAGTGAGGTCGCAGATATTATGTCAAATACACATATTTCGGCAGATAGGGCTGTCGTCAGAATGAATCATATATATTTAGCTGATAGCACTATGCCGTTGATTTCTCTCTCTGAGCACAATGCGGTATGCATCTTTTAGAATATTCTAAAATAACTGACTCTCCTTTTACTTTTATTTTGACGGGGTCAATAATAAAGAAAGATATTAAAAAGGGAAAGTTATGTCAGACTTCTTTCGGTGTTGAGCAAAATGACGAAGAGTGACCCCCTACTCGATGAAATTGACCAGTGTCTTTATACAGACTTATTAAGTATTCCTTATAGTATGGTAATTGTTGTTTAGAAGTGTGCCGGGTTATAGTGAACATAAACAAACAAATAGATAAATAAATAAATAAGTGCACCCAATATGTTCACAGACAGCCATGATTTGCCCATTCCATGATAATGCTAAAGGCAGAAATCAAATTCTAATTTTAATGCGACGAAACTATATTTCTGAAGTGAGATTTCACTTACATATCTGATAATCTCATAGTTAGGTATCCGATGTGTCTCATATAGGACATAAGATATCTGATGTAGTGTAATAAATATACAGTATAAGGTATCTTAAATATAAGTATCTGATATAAGATAGAAGTTATTTGATACATCATATAATTTATATATGCGTGATGTATTTATCACACAAGTTCCGGTGTTTTGTTTGGGGCAATATGGCTCGAAGGTGACGCATTGTCAAATATAATCGGAGGGAACAAATCGGTCACCAATGCTACATTTCCTATCCCCACACCGATATATAGACATATGTACTTAATCAATGGGGGAGTCCAGGAATTTTGAAAAGGGAGGTGGTCCAATACCTTTAAATCCGCGCCTGTTAACGTATCATGTAAGAAATATTTTTACGCCTGTCTCTGTTCAATCATCAGAAAACAATGAATGGTTGCATTCGAGGAAACACACGCAAAAAATACTAAACAAGTGAATTCCCCTCCCCTAAACTCTCCTCCTAGTCCTAAATGAGGCAAAAAAAAACACAACAACATTTGTAATACTATCCTACACTAACTAAGTATGAGCAAATTCAGACATAGAGAGGGGTCGTTGGCATCACCTGGGCGTACACCCTTTATTGTTCGAATAAATCAGAAATATTTGCCAGGTAATGCTCAAATCGTTTAGTGGTATAACACGAAGAAGAAATAATAGTAAGAAACGAAGCAAAAACTAGATCCCCCCTCTCCATCCCACCATCCCACCCCCACGACACACAATGGGAATTTACCTATACTGTATACACGTGATTCTTCCGCTTGTCAATATTTACCCATTCGTTTTAGACGACAGTAATATATTTTAAATACTTTCCTCCTTCCTGAATAACATCAGGAAATACATTTAAATGGTACACGCTTATGGCTGGTGGTGTAGTGAAAATGTATTGAGTTTCATGACATTTAAATTTAGCGATAACTCACCTAGAAAACATAATCGATAGTGTTGATATCGTGAATAAATATTAACATACATTTACATAGAAGATATAGGTATGTTAGTCATATATCAAACGTGTTTTATCTGACGCCTCAGATAACACTATGAACACTTTGTCAGAACAATGTGACCGGGTGGAGTGTCGTGGTATTGTGTCAAATTTTTAGGTTATGGTATTTTAGCGAAACAGTTGACCAATTAAATGACAAAAATCCATAAAGTCAATACGTAGACATATTGTTCTACCTCCATAATCAAAATATGTCGTAAATGCGTGTCGTCGTCGAAGATTAAAGACGAAAACTCATAAATGTCGTCTGCTTAAATTCTTATTTAAAAAAAAATAAGTATACCGTAGTAAAAACATTGTTAAAAAAGGTGGAGATCGTTATTATGTAGCAAATAACTTAAAATGTATGTATATATATAAAAAACAAACATATTCTACTGCACATAAACAACTACAAAAAGTGCAATTTCGTTACATGTATGTGATATGAAGAGTCGATGTTTATGATTATGCTCGTAAGCGTGCCACTGTGTTTCGTTTTCACTACCTCTTCTCTTTCTTTGAGGATATGACATTATTAGGATTTGACCGAAACTTATGTGGTGGTTCTACACTGTACTCCACTCATTTGTCAACCTAGAGTACAGGTCATATTTCGTCATAGGTAACTTTGGAATAAACATCAAAATGCAGTTCAATATATATACTCTTTCTTTTTATTCTCTTATCTTTCTGCCGAATGGTTTCCGAAAGTTTCGTCAGACTACCAGTGGGATACTAATGAAACTTATATGATTATTGATGTGCATGTGTAGATGTGCAAAACTAATTTATTTTTCCTTTCATGCATCAAACAGTTTTCAGCCTCTGATACACCGAGACTTTTACAGGCTGGAAACTGGTATACCACAAGGTTACCCCATTGGTCCCCATCTATTCTATCATTTTATTTCTAAAAAAATACTATTATTTGGTATAAGAATCTAACTGTGAAACAATTTTATTGTCCATTTACAGTTGAAGTAATATCATCCATGGGTAATTTCGGTATATGCATTGGACTACCGGCAGGCTACATGTGTGAGAGGTTTGGAGCACGCTGGACGTCGCTGACTGCTCTGATAATGTCGGCGACTGCAATGATGTTACTTTATAGTACGACGTTCTCACTCGAGTTCTACAGTGGGTGCGCACCCCTTCAATACCTCTACTTCTTCCTGGCCGGTAAGTCACCTTACGACACAAACAGGGTTGACGATAAAATCGCCCGAAGCCAAATGTAAGGATCCTTGCCCGACAGCAGGCAAAACACAAGAAAATTCCAATATAATTTTAATCCACGGAGTTATTTCCCTTAATGACATTTGGCTTTAAGTTTAGTCAGTGAACTACCGTTGATCACGTAGCGCTGTTTGTTAGAGAGGTAGTAGTATTATCTGAGGCCCAGTGTTCGAATAATGGTTTGGCACAGTTGCCTTTTTCACTCTCATCACACGACTGCTATTTTTTGTTTGCTTATCTCATCTTTGTTAATTTTCATAAAAGTGTCGCAGGGTATCCATTTCTTTAGAATTTGTGGAAGAGAAAGTTATTATCATGTTGGTCGGAAATCCCAATACAGTTTTTGGTAGTGCCACGGGGATCTTTAAGTACCAATTCAGCGACTTCGGGGACAGAATTCTTCTTTTGTCAATACGAAACTGTTGTAATAATCCAGTCTGTTTAAAATCAAGCAAGCAACTTCATAAAGGAAATTAAACTAATGGGTAAGCGAAGATCGATGGTATTGCATTTGGAAAATACATTTTGCTGATATAAATATCGGTCTAGATAAACGAAGTTGTTCCCAAGATAAAGCAAAGCGCGACCTGATAGTGAGAAAATAAACACAGTTCTAATTTACAGCACCTTTAGAAATGATTGACAGATGCTATGGAACATTCATTTAAATATGATCAAAATTTCCGATTAGGTGATTCATTATAATAACGAATAGGATTTTATTTCACAATTAATTTGATTGAATTTCAAAATTTTGATTTTATGTCATTCGGTCAATAATATCACTTATAATGATATGTGAAGTGATGCCATTAATATAAAGTCTTATTTTTCCTTAGGTTTCGGAGCGATATTCTTGTATATGGCGTCCCTCATTACGAGTATGGAGAATTTCCCGCCAAAACACCGTGGAAAGGTCGTGGGAACGCTTGACGCCTGCTTCAGCGGTGGTCCCGCCCTTTTCTCACTGCTGTACGGCGCGTGCTTCGTCAAGGGTCACGTGAATGACGAACAGAACCAGGATTTGAGAGGTTTCTACCTTCTAAACGCTATAGCGTTTGCCGTGGTTGGTCTGTTAGGCATGCTTTGCCTAAAACGGTACCCGCTTGACCTTGAGGAACATGACCTCACAATTACGCAAGATCTGGCAGCTGACCGGAAATCCAGCCATCAGCAACATCAACTTCAAGCTCCAGATATAACCGGATGTGTTTTGTTTCGCCGGTCCGAATTTCATTTCATGTTATGGCCCTTCATGTTTTGTTCCGGTCTACAACTTATGTACCAAAACAACATCGGCGTATATTTGAAGTCATTTGACATAGAACAATACACAACGCTCTTTACAACAATTAATCCCATTGCCGCCATCTGTTGCAAGTTCACAGTCGGGGTTATATCAGACGCTATAGTTCATAAAGTCCCGCGGCCCGCGGTGCTTTTATTCTTTTACTGTCTACAAACATTTGTATTAACCCTTTGTATATTCTTCTCCAATAACTTCGTCCTTCTGGTCATAACTCTTCTAGTCATCGGATTTGCAAATGGCGCCCTCTGGTGTCTCTCCCCAACAATCATCTCCGAAATTTACGGCTTGAAATACTTTGGGCGTAACTGGGGCACTGCTATGATAGGTAGTGGACTAGGGGGCTTGGGTTGTCAGCAGGTTTTCGGTGCCTTGTACGACTACAATATCGTGGCTAAAGGTTCGGAGGACTGTTACGGTATTAAGTGTTTTACCCTCAGTTTCACCGTGGTAGCCGTGATGAGTCTGTGTTCCTGTTTATTCTGTGTAGGACTTCTACAATCTGTTATGGAGCAACGGGGACGAAACACCGAATTAGAAAGTCGATAATAATAATATTCGAACACCGATCAAACAAAATGTCGCAACAGGTTAAACAATTATCTACATGTTTTTCGTAACATAGGTTGCTGACCAGTTTAATTTCAAGTAAGATGTTCGCCTAGCGACATTGTGTCGTTGTTTACTAGTCAAACAAACATTTTGTGGCATTTCTATAATCTGTGATAACCCAAATGACCTTTCTGATTACCAGAAGGGTTATCGTATTGACCAATAAACTTCTTTCGAAGTGTTAGTTTCTATATGATAATTATTTTAAAAATCTGTATTGAGCACAATATCTGCACATGGCAGGTGTTTCAATGAAACATGAAAAATTGATTGATTCAAATCAACAATAATGTAGCGACTTTGCAATTCCTGGTATGCACATTCTTCGAGTAAAAGCATCCATCGAATATGTGTATGAAGTCAATTCCATATCATAAATCAAATATTTAAATGTTTTAGCCAGCAAAGACAAATTTCTAGCCATTATATGTAAGGACGTAAAGGCGATAGCGTCATCCTACTGGCTATATATATATAAAGTTGTACTGTCGACAGGCGCGTGGTAAGACTGTAAAAGATGTGCATGGAACGTTTTTATTCCATTTCAATTAAGTTTTGTGAAGTTAACAGAATAGTAAAGATGTGACATACATCATAGAATTAAATTTTGTTTTAAGAATTGTAGAAAAATGGCATTATTCCATTTGATGAGTCTTTTGCAAAAATGCATAAGATTATAACACTCTTTCATACCCAGGAGTGTAGGATAGGGAAATTCCTCCCGAGGGGTTTCAAATTTGGTAAAACCCGAGGCTTTGTCGAGGGTTTTGCCAAATTTGAAATCCTGAGGTTGGAATTTCCCTATTCTACACCCGTGGGCATGAAATAGTTTTTTCTCTCTCATTCCAACCACCAGAATAAGCTCAGAAACCATTAAAATGCGTTTGGATTGGCTACCATTTTGAAAATATCAATTCCCACCCTGAGCTTTCTAGACGAAAACAAATCTGTCAGCCATATTTGCAAATATAGTTTGCGCAGAAAAGTTAATATCATCTTTCTAATGTGTATGGTAAATATATTGTAAAAGGTTTCCAAATTCGTGACGTCAACTCATTGTTGTGCCATTGTGACATCACGTCACGTGAAATGGGGTGTAAGATTAATGAAATCTTACATCTCAACCCGAGTGTAAGAGTTTGGCTGGTCAGCAGGAGGCTTCCAACAGTGTCGATGGTGAAGCATTCAAGTGAGGTGGCAGTATCAAATTCTAGCGTCCTGATATGGCTGTAGATGCGAATTCCTCTAAATTGCCTTAATTAATATTTTGTATAGATTGTGTGAATTGCATAGTCGTGCATTGTAAAGCACCTTGGAATGGCTTATTGTAGCTACATTATAATTATGTAGATATTGCGTTACATGTATATAAAATATCGTGAATGTATTTATTTATGTATTTATATCATCTAGATGCATGGTATATATTACATGTACCATGCACAGTTGCCAAACTGAGATGTATTGGTAGCAGAAGTAGGGAATGGCCAGTTACATTGTATTATTAATGCATATCAAATTACATAGAAAATTGCAACATACGTCTTTGTGTTGGAAAAAAGATGTGACGTCTCTTCGTCTGTTTGTAATGTTGACAGTTCTTTTCGTATATTATATTATAAAAGGGGCCTCGCACGTTCATAAACGCGTATTGGACATAATATATTCCTTAAGACAGTTCTATTGATTTAAAGCCTATGTTTTTGTTCATTTTCTTATATATGTTTCAATCGAATAAAAAGATCAAAGTTATGTTATTATCTTTCAGAAATGTGTCAATCATTAAATTTACACTTCATTTGTTTTTAATATTAATGTATTTCAAGTCCCAGCGTAGTCCGGACGAAACCTTTTCGGTAAGCTAAATAAAAGTTGTGAGAAATATTTTAACCCATTTCATCATAATGTGTTTCCTTCTTGTAGAAAGGAAACGTTTCGTTTAGAATGTCTGAGCTTTTACCTACAGATTTTCTTTTCTTTCAGGAGTAACAATGAGTTTAACAATATTACTTTTCATATTGAGAAATTAGTAGAAATTCGTAGAATAAAAACATTTCCAAAAGAGATTGTATGCAGTCTAGATGTGTCTCTGTCAAAACCTACATGGTTGAACACAGACTGACGACATCATTTCAGCTTTATTTTTCTTGTGTTGCTTTTAAAATGTCCTCCGTGAACTCTGAAATCAACAAAAAGTAACACCAAACCGGATATGGGGGTAAAGGTCGGGTCCAATTTTGGCCTACGCAGCGCTATTTTTTTTTATTTTGCAACAACGGTCCCCGACTGCAGACAGTTTTGAAAATGATGGTCTTAGCTCCCTGTGGTCTGATTTGGCCAAACTCGAGCTCCTTGAAGTACTCCTGCTCCTGCTCATGACATGAAGTTGTACATGAACTTACAAAAGAGCCTGATAAATCATTATTTTAATCTAATGTTTTTTTCCTTTTAATACTGTTTGCTAATGTTTAGTTGATCATTTCGATACCAAATATGTCTTTATTTACTAGGATCTGTGATGCCAGTACTGGGTTCAGGCTTTTGAGCGAGTATAACTTCATGTTCTGAGTAGGAATATCATTTTCAATACTGTATGCAGTCTGGCAAAGTTGTTGCGAAAAGAAAATAAATCGCTGGGTGGGCCGACCATATGGAATTTTTAGCATTGGAGTGGACCTTATCTTTGAAACTTCAATAAGACGACATTTGAAGATTCAAATTTCTCGATTTGTCAAACTTATGTCAAAGCTCGGATTATTTCCTTATTAAACGATACTGATATTTAATGATTCGAACAATTATAGGTCGAAATTTTCGCTCTTTCGAACAACAATCAGTGTCTGGTCGTTTTGAAAACATTGCTAATTACAACTAATAAATTGAAGTAGAACTATTACAGTGTACCTGTGTGAGAACACAGAAAGGTCTCGTGGTCTTTTTAACACCTAAACGTGGAAACCACATACATATGTATATCAATAGTATAAACATATAAATACATGTAAACTTATTCTTCTAATTGCATTAAACCCAATATTTATTGATTTCAAATGATATTTCTTGCGTTTTGTTCCGTCACGAAGCATTCATGATCTCAAAGCTGTTCGAAGGTCAAAATTTGTGAGTCGAAGTTTCGATGTTTCGATGTTTTCCTGATGATGCCACACAGTTTTAAACATGGGAGTTTGAATGACTGTATATAAACATATAATAAGACACAATTCTCTTCGTTCTTTGTTTAAATGTACCTACTAACCCAAATGCTTCATCGTCAATGGTGTATACGAACTTTCCAAGGAACAACGTTATGCATCTTTTGTGTAAGAATATGTGCATCTGCCAGAACATTCATGTTTCCAGCTTGGCTGAGCATGCAATGACAATTTGTCATGTACATTTCTACTAAAGTTTGTAAGAAACTACTTGAAAAGAGCCAAATGCAATGTGTGGACAGCCGAAAATGTCCCAACCGAAATGCTTTTCTAAAGTTTCAAAAGTACTGACAGAGCAAGTCGAGAAATTCTTAAAAACAATATTGTTCTTCTTGAAGATTTGCTTAAAAGTGTCACATTTTCACATCTGGTGTGGACCAAAACGTGGCAGATTCGGAAAATGAGCCGTGTATCCTATCAAGTCAAATACATGTACCACGCCATGTAAGATACCATCCGTCTACAACTTTAAGAAAATATGTGGTTCTTTTAAAGCATTGTACCTTTGGGTCTTTGATATTTGGTTTTGAGGTGAAATAGAGCCAATTAATGGTATATGCAGATCTTAACAAATGTTGATATCTGATGTTTAAAGGATAATATGCGTTGAATCAAATAGTAAAATGATCAACAAAATAAACTTCAATTAATTGTATACTTGAAAAAGAGAAACTTTACATCACGTATACTGTAAACCTAGTTCGAATATTCTATGTGGCTGTTTTTCGGCTAGAGTGAAACTGCACTGAACATCCTGGGAATAGGCCTCAACAATAGCATCATTTGGTCAGGGCAACAAGAAGACCATTTGCATAACGGTTGGATAAAATAACTCACACAAGCACATGTGAAGTTGCAGATACCTGTCAATATTAGGTCAGGTGAACTCCTAATTAGTTTTAGGCCTACCATGAATTCAAAAAGAAGATTATATGCAACACTCTGTTTGTATGTCATAAATCTTCAAAAGGAAAAGATCAGCTATTTATTAGTAGAAAAAATGGCCTAGGCAAGTATCAAACTGATTTTATATTTGATCCTTTACCATGACCTTGACCTTCAGACTACAGATATGAGAGTTTGTCCTGACCTAGACATTTAGGTACGCATATAAATGCGTCATACAGCACCGTCTTGCCATGATAAAATATTGCATATGAATATTCATAAACAGGTTCAACAGTTAGGGAGTTGTGGCCTGGATGTGTATTCAAATTATTTGACTTTTGACCTTTGACACATTGTGCACTGACCTTGAAATCTATAGCACAGACCTGGGAGTGTCTTGCAACACACCGACAGTCAATTATACACCTATAGTGAAATTTTATTACGAAAACTTCAGCCATTTAGAAAATATTGTCTGGCAAGCTTGAAATATGTTGACCACTTACACATGTCCTGACCTTGACCTTTAAGGTATTGTGATCTGAGTGTGATCTGATAATGGGGATGCTTACAAATTGTGAAGGTTTCTAGACTGCACCAATCAAAGAATGGATTATGTCAAACCAATTAAGTGTCAACAAAAACGAAATGCTAACTCAAAATTAATGAAACCAGTGAGGGGGGAATATGAACCAAGGTTATAGTTCCACGGAAAACCCCTCGATAAGTAAAAGGAGAAGAAGACCAGGTGTTCAAGAAGGATAAGGGTATTTTGCTATCCAGGGTAGTGACATCAGAACCATAAGTCATTGTTATGAGCATAACAAAAAATAATGACCTTCATATCAGACAAGGAAATAGAATATTTCCAAATGAGTTCATGATGGTGACCATTAAAATTGCCCATAATCTTCATAAAGCGGTGTCTCTCAAAACCCTGTGTTGTAGGTTTGTCAGTAAGCAGTCAATATCTACTAGGAAAATCATGATATTTGAAGCAAGTTCTTAGTTGCTGATTCAACTTTGGCATGTAGCACCATCAGTTGGGGAGCAGGGATGTTACTAACAAGAAAGGGAAAGGCACAATGTGGAAGAATAAAAAAGAGTGCTGTGAAATGTAACACCATCAGTTAGGGAGCAGGGAGGTTACTATCAAGGAATGAAAAGTTTATAATCAGAGAACAGAAATACGAAAAAATACAAAGTTTCATATCAATATTTATTTTGTTATGGCAACAAAAGGCTTCTTTGTGTCTTGTATAAATATTATCTACAGGAAAAAATACATAATACAAATATGTAATTATCAATATTACGTAAACATTAAACATGTATTAAAACTGATGATAAAATAAATAAACATAATAGTGGCAATAAAATCTAATACACCAATATCTTGTTTAATGTTTAAGTAGTCTATCACTGAGGGATGTGATAAAGTAACACGGGTTATTACAATTAAAATTTTAAGTTCTGTTCTCTGTCTTTACCAGACACTCAATCTGGATTGCAGAAAGTCTTCAGGTTTTGTATGCAAGTTTGGAGTCAAAATCTATGGCCAGTTTAGACAAAAATCCAGATTGGGCAGTGTCTGGTTTAGACGGAGTTCACTGTGTTTCAGTGCTCAGTAAAATTATGAAGTTAAAACACTTATGCTTAAAACACATATTCTTTCTGCTTAGTTCACGAAAACATAAAAATATAAAGTAAGTACATGTACATTTATTATATGCAGTTATATCATGATAAAAGTAACTGCAATTTCAAACATGGGATTAAGATTATTAATTAAGATTAAGACAATGTTGTACTCATTCATAAAATATCAAAAGTATACCAGTACATATATTCATATTACCATGTATATGCAGATTTTGTTACGAATGCTCAAAATCATATTTTAAACAAAAATAGCCATTTATGTCTTTTTCCTAAAATTACAGTATTGTGCCAGATGTATTTGCGATTTGCCTGGAAATGCACTATACGTGATGTATCACTATCTTGTTTCATTGAATTTCACTGGAACCGAAATGAAATGAAACTGAACAACCTGTAAGAGAATTAACTCATTCACCCCTGAAGACACATTTGAACTCTTCCAATTCAAAGGTTGGAATAGTTCATTATGAAATTTCAGGGGTGAATTTAATAAATTGATGATTTATCCGATAATATTTTAAAACTTTGCTGTTGAATGATTTGAAAAAAACATTTTATTCTTGGAAATAAAACTTCACTCCCATTATTTTGTAAGACAAAGAACAAAATGGCAAAGTGAAATTGATTTCATCTGAATAACTTGTCATACCTTTGAAAACAATTAAGTCAACACAAATGTATGAAAATATTCTCAGATTTAGATTTAATGATGTTTAAAAGAAATCTCTGCATCAAACTTGAAATTGCAATTGACACTTTTAACTCATTCACCCCTGAAATTTCATAATGAACTATTCCAATTTTTTGAATTGGAAGAGCTCAAATGTGTCTTCAGGGGTGAATGAGTTAAAGTATATATGGTACCTTCTCCTGGAAGCTCAGGAAAAGTTCTCCATGAAGCAAAGTAGTAGAAGAGTTCCCTTTGAAGTTAATACAACCGTATACACATACATTACACATTACTACAACCAATAATCTTTTCCCGTCTATAAACATGTACATATCACAATTTAGCTACACATTCAGATTTGGCAGAATCCATGTTATATTCATACATACCATTTTATCACAATTAAGTTAACATGAAACTTTTTTCATCATTACAAATTAAAACATAAAATTCAAAAGTAAAACTTCCTCTCTGCTGGCCTCACAGAATAATAAGAGAGCTGATCATTCAACTAATAAATTGTTATCTTGTTTATACTTAATATGATGTTAATTAGATACAAAAGCATCATCATATTTTGTGTACCTCCTAATTAAGTATGTCATTAATTCTTGTGTATCTATCAAAATTTGTTTCCACCAGTAATTCCACCAAAAAAAGAAAACAGATAACTGCTTAACAGCTATAATTCAACTAAGCATGACATCACAGACTATACTTGATCTGTTGTCAATTTGAAAATGGCTACTTTCAGAAATATACCGTTTAATTGTATATATATGAATATAAAAATAATCTTGTAAATGTTAACTGGTGTCAATTTTGAATTAAACAAAACCCCACTACATTCTGTTGGGCCAAAGTTAGGATAAAGAAAGACATAACATATAGCAACTACTCTTGTTAGTTTTCAAAATGGTGAAACAAATAAGTTTGACTTAATTTCAAAAGAGTTGTTTCGGGAAAATTTAAAACTTTCATCCATGAAGACAAAAATTAATTCATGTCGGTTACATTTTTTCTTTGTTAAAAGACCTTTCATAAATATCATGTTTCAGTAAATTTGTAAATGTTATGACTAAATGTTTCTGTTACAGACTAAGTCAAAGATGAAGCCTGATGGCCTTGGTTTCACATTGTCGCTTTACCCTTGTGACCCTAGCTATAACCCTATGACCTATGCTACCGATGTGGAGAGTAAGCATAATCGTGAATATCTGGTGTTTGCGGCTCAATGTGACCTAGTGACTTGCGACTGTCACGGCGCTGACATTTCGGACACTGACGAGACTCGGTTTTACAGCTTTTGTGGAAGACGGACTTACATCGATGGCACTGAAACAAAACCAAAAGAAACAGAAGTTTAGGGCATATTTGCTTTGGAGTCCTCGAATACAAGATGAACAGGGGTGTATGATTCTATTTGATTGGGGCCCTGGGACTGCAGGATTTCATGTCAGGACTAGGTAAATCTATATTAATACTGTATAACACAAAATGTTCATGGGTACTTTCCTTCATAGTTTGAAGCCATTCAGATCGTTTCGTGGTACAAACTTTCGTGGATATCCTATATTAACAAACAGTAGACATGTAATTCACCCCAAATCTGTTTGTATTTATTTTCGTGGTTCAATAACAACCACGTAAACCACGAATGTTTATACACAACAAACATTTCATGTTATACAGTAAATCGGACTACTAGAATTTAACATGATTTGCCTGTGGGCTTGTACTCCCCTGAATGTGGGATTAACTTATCAAAAACTGATAATATATAAGCAGTTGTCACAAAACTTCAGCATCACAAAGGCTTACGAAAGAATTTACACAATTATATGTTGAGTACTATGTTTATAAAATCAAATTCTTATCAATATGCCATGACTTCTTTTGAGGTGCATATTGGGTCCTTTACCCCTCATCTGGATTTTCCTGATATTAAAGTTGATATCTTTCCTAACTATTAAACTTAGTCAACAGTCAGTGATAATTTAGCATCATATGAATTTACCATTTTTTTTGCCAACATTTTCAGCCACAAAAAGAACCTGCAAAAAGTACACAGGTTTCACGCCAGATAAGTCCAACGATCTTCATCAAAAGCTTTTCAACTAAGGACTGTCACAAGAAATAATGTCTTCTTGCAAATTTATCTTGTCTGGTTTTGGCCACCTTCTTTCTTTAAGAGGTCAGGGTCATTTTTAGTGAATCTGACCTTGGCACATAATTTTATGACCCTGACCCTGGAAGGCACTTTTTATGACCATGACCTTTGGATATATTGTTTTATAACTGTGACCTTGGAATGTATTTCTCTATTACCCTGACAATGGGAGATATTTTTATGACTATGCTCTTTGGGTACATATTTTTCTCGAACCTTTCCTTTTGAAGGCAGGAGCGGGTTAAGATTTTTATGACTTTGACCTTGAGATGTATTTTCCCCATGACCTTGACATTAAAGTGTGTAGATGCACTTACCCTCACAGTAAGGGCAACCTCAAATGGATAGATGACTTTAGGGCTGCTGCAAAGCTCACAGATGAAACCTTTCTGGCTGCAAAGGCGACAATCATACACATGCTTGGAGGCAAACTTTATGACCTTTTTCAGACTCTGCTGCAATTGACCTGAAGGAACTTGAAGTAGATCCTGCAAAATGGTGAAAATACACATTGACTCAATGAATTGACAAATATAAACTGAAAAATCCATAAAAAACATACACTTTTCTTGATGAAGTTGATTAAGTGATCATTCATCATTTTTTTTCTCTATAAGTTTCAAAATATGTTTCCTCAGCTAAGAAACATAACATATAACATAAAATATAAACTTAATTTTACAACACTTATGAAACAAGGTTTTTCAACTTATTCTGATCACTCTTGTTGGCCCGGATGTTAGCGCAGATCATGATGGGAGATCTTACTGTGGGAGGAAACTGGAGTAACCCGGAAAAAACTCATGAGCTTAGGCAGGTGACCACGATCAAACCCTGGCCGCCTTGGTGAAAGGCAATGATAATAATTATATTAATTTGAGGTTCTTATATACTGCTTTATCACAACCTAGTTCGTAGGTCGTCTCAAAGCGGTTCACAAATTATTATCCGTGGTTATTCCATCTTTGCATATTGCAGAGTTATCTTCTCTTGGGAGCAGGTATTGATTGTTAAGTCACTTGTTTGTGAGAATAACGTCATCAATTTTTGAGAAAACGACATTATTTTCTCACACAGACCAATGACGTAAAAATCAATACCTGCTCCCAAGAGAAGATAACTCTGCCATACGCAAAGACGGAATAGGGCCTTTGCAACCAGCCAATATCTTTCTCAACTGGGGAGCATACAGCCGGAGCAGCCATTTTGGCGCTAACAGCTAGCATTCAAGCATTCTAGCACTGCCCAACCGGGTACTTATTTACACTGAGTAGACTGGAACAAGCGGAGTAAAGTATCTTGCTCAAAGATACAACACAGTGTCATGCCGTGACTTGAACACGCAACCCTACCGAAAAATTAAGTGTCCTCACACAAGAGGGCTATCATAGATATCTCCCTTTCCACTCATTAATTCTTTGAAGAGTTTGATATATAGCACTTTATTGTTTTTACGATAATCTTAATGCAATATCCTACACTATTTCCTTCATGTATTCCTGTACTAAACCCTGATACCCTGGATACACATTGCTAGTCATGTCCTTGTAATATCATATATCTAGGCATGCAATCAGAATTTCTATTTTCGGCCAGAGTATCACTGCTTAGCTAAGTGAGTACACAGTAGTAAACCAGTACTTACAGACAGTGAGTACGCCTCTGTGGTGTCATATAGGTAATCTTTAGGCCAGACACTCTTCCTAAACTCCTCAGCGATGGACTGTTTACAGGTGAATAGGTACGTTTTCAGGTAGGTCAGCTGGACTCGGCTCAACTGTACAGAAAATGTTTACAAAGGTTTTACAATTGCTGGTAGATCCTCTTTGTGCATTATTTCTATTTGATCCACATAAATACAGAACATTAACACACAGCAAACTGTTTTATCAATATTGTCATGTAATTGGGAAATAAGTTATAATGATAACAGAATGTATGTATTGTAATAAAACAACAAGATATTTAACCACGACCTATACCATGACCTCTATATATAGGTCACAATGATCTACATTGACCTATACCACGACCTCTATATATAGGTCACAATTACCTATACCATGACCTCTATAGGTCACAATGACCTACATTGACCTATACCATGACCTCTATAGGTCACAATGACCTACATTGACCTATACTATGACCGCTATAGGTCACAATGACCTACATTGACCTATACCATGACCTCTATAGGTCACAATGACCTACATTGACTTATACCATGACCTCTATAGGTCACAATGACCTACATTGACCTATACCATGACCTCTATAGGTCACAATGACCTACATTGACCTATACTATGACCTCTATAGGTCATAATGATGTACATTGACCTATACCCTGACCTCTGTATGACATCATTACAAACCTTGACCTCTAACCCTGACCTATGACTGTGTGACATCATACCCTATCTTGACCTTTCACTGTGACCTCTGAATACCCTTGAGAATTGTTCCCTCATCACATACCTGTATCTCCTCCATTTCCTTGACATGTTCATACAATTTAGAATTAACTTCAGCAATATTGATGAAGGCCTGATCCTCGGAATCCTGCAGAAAGCTTAAGTTTCTTTTTGCCACTGAAATGAAGAAAATATCACCAGGTAATAGGTTTGTTTTACTTACCAAGTAAGTTAAAAACTGATGATATAAATAGTCAAATACTATCCTTACCTGTGACTTGGCACACATTAATGTTAAACGATACAGAAAGTATCAACAATGACTGTATTTTTTTTTTTTTTTTTTTTTTTTTTTTTTTTTTT